GGGGACACCCGCGCTAGGTCGTCGCTTGCGCTCGTGGAAAGATAAGAGACTGAGTCCCCCTCACACCTCCTCTACTGCGAGTAAGCTCCGTACGGAAGAGGATGCATGGATGAAATAGCTCTCGGCCCAGGTAGATACGTCAAGTTCCTCGGGGAAGTCTTTGCGTGAACGCTCCAACTTCCAGATTCAACTTGTAACGCCACCTGTTTGCCTCCTTTTACCTCACCCGGACATGCCGTCCTAGGACCGCGATCTTTTCACCACATTGCACTCCGTACGAGCAGGCACCCTGACTTCCACCCCTCCTTTTCCTAAAAACAGAATGATGCATCCAGTCATTCATATCTCACGCGATAGATTCACTTAAAATATACTAGTCAAAAAAAATTAAGGGACCAGAAAAATTCCTTAAATTTTTAGGTCATTTTCAAATTGCTCTGGCTCCGTTGAAATTCATCACAGAAGACATCCAGAATAATCATTTTGAAGCTTCAAGTCTCTAGTTTTCAACTCTTTATCTCAAAAATTTGTTGAGCCCATTATCATTAACAAAATATGCAAAAAATCGCGATGAAAAAATTTTAGGATTTTTTTTCTTTTTTTTTAAGGTTTGTAAAGACATGAAAAAATTTTTTTAAATAATGCCACTTCTAGACTGCTGTTCCTTGTTCCTTCTCCTATAATTTGCACGTCCATGAAGTTCGTTTCAACGATCGGTCGCAAAGTTATGAGCTACCAAAACCGAAATGACGCTTTTTCCTTTGATAGTCATTATCTCATGAATCCACCATCGAACAGAAATTGTAAATACGGTCCCAGAAAGCGGAGAATGTACCCTTTAAAATGGGTATATCAGTTTTTGATTAAATGTTTTTCTTTTATGCTTAATATTGATGTAAAAAAACGTCAAAAAACGGCGTTTTTTCCACAAATTACAAAAGTTACGGTATCTTTGTAAATAAGTATTGTAATGATTATGCTTAGGTTTTTTTAAGCTCATATTGCCCACAAAATGTATGCAAAGTTTCAAATGGCTCCGATTCTTTGTTCCCTATGAACCGATGGATCAAACTTTGAAATTTGAACGAAAAGAGTTAAGGAAACGTCATTACTACTCCGATCCGCGACTAATACGTTTGTTGGCTAAAAAAGTTTGTGTCTCTACATTTACCGGTATCATTGGTAAATTTTTAAAGAATGCTTTGGTCTGAAAAGGTCGGATTTGCGCTTCCTCTTGTATGTGTGAGTTCGTGCGTATGTGTGCCGTGTATGTGCAAGTATATGAACGTGGGAGCGCGCAGGTATGTGCGCCTGCCGCAATGTCTCCGCGGGTGAATGTAATTTTGTTTTTTCAATAAAAATTCAAGGACTTATAAATTTAATATCGAGTATTACCACCACGGTTGATAATTACATCTTGCAAACGTTCACGCATATTAATGCATTGCCGTATTATGGCTTGGGTAATTTTGTTCCAAATTTGATGAAGCGCATTTTCCAGCGCACGTAAATTTCGTAAATGCGGATAGTCCGTTCGCAATCAACGCCCCATCATATCCCAAACGTGTTCAATTGGATTGAGATCTGGGCTCATTGCTGGATGTGGTAGCGTATTAATTCGATGTTGCGACAGGAACCGTTTTGCAACGTTCGCTGTATGTGGTCGAGCATTGCCTTGGACTAATCTAAATCGGTTTCAAGTGTATTGACGAATAGGTAAGGCATGCGGACTTAAAATTTCATTGGTATACCGGCTTGCTATCCGAAGGGACTATCCGCATTTACGAAATTTACGTGCGCTGGACTAGATTAGTGAAATCTATACGGACCGGCTGGAACGCACTTGCGAATCCAGCGCGGACCTGCTGGAACGAAACGGTAAAGAGCGCTCAGTTCGCAAATGGTTAAAGTGTTGAATATGGCTAGCAAGAAGAACGCAACGACACTAACCATGGAGGACCGTTTAAAAGTGTTGAACGACTTAAAAACATTTAGTGTTTCTAATGTTGCCAGAAAATTCAACGTTCACAAATCAACAATTTGTAGGATCAAGAATAATGCTCCAAAAGATATGCAATTTTTCGACCAAGGCAAGGTGCAACGGAAACGCCGAAAGATACGTGCATCGGCATATGACACATTAGAGCAGAATTTGATGACATGGTTCACAGAGAGGAGAACCCTTGGCGATTTTATAACCAATGTTGCGTTTTTGGAGAAAGCAGTCGAACTGAAGAACAATATGAGATTACCGTCAACATTTAAAGTTAGTAAAGGCTGGTTAGCAGGCTTCAAGAATCGTCATAACATACGCCTAGTTCGGGTATATGGAAAAAGCGCGAATGTCGATGAAGATGCGGCGACAAAATTGTTGGAAGAAGTTAATATAAATACGGATAATGTTTACAATATGGACGAGACTGGACTTCTCTGGAAAGCCTTACCGCTTAAAACATTAGCGGACATCTTCTGTCATAGAAAAAGGAATATAAAAGGCTTCAAAAGCCGTAAAGAGCGTATTCCGATAGCTTTATGTGCAAATGCATTCGAGACGCACAAGTTAATGCCGTTCAGAAAAAGGAATATAAAAGGCTTAAAAAGCCGTAAAGAGCGTATTCTGATAGATTTAGGTGCAAATGCATTCGGGACGCACAATGCCGTTCATTATCAATAAATATGAAAATCCCAGAGCATTCAAACATTGTAAAAACAGTCTGCCAGTGGTTTTTAAGTCTCAGAAGAATGCATGGATGATGACTCAAACTTTGTTGATTGATTGGTATGAAAATCATTTCAAACCAAGTGTGTGATTATACCAACTAAGAATTATTGGATGATGATCATTTTAAAATTATACAGGGTGTTAGCCCGACGCTACGCGGAAAAGTATCGCAATATGGAAGCTCCTACTGCGAACTTTATTCGCAGATTAGCGAATACATTATATTCGAATGGCTCGTTTAAATCTGTACAATCTGATACAGGGCGTTCATGCCAGATTCCAACTGAACGAACGGACGAGGTACTCGAACAGTTCCACGAAGATGGAACGTTGAGTATAAGAGACGTCGCTCGCCGCTTAGGGTAAGTAATGTTAAAAATATTCAAACGTCAATATTAAAGGATCTTTCTTCATTTATTAATACATTTCTGTATTTTATTTCAGCATGCATCGCTCCGCGGTACATCGCATTCTTCAGGAATATGTACGGGTGCAAGATTTGAACCCACAAGATTTTACTCGCCGAGTGGAGTTTGCAAGCTGGATTTGGGGGAAATCGAGCGGAATCCGTCGTTCCTCTCATGCGTTTTGTGGACAGACGAAGCTCTCTTCACAAGAGAAGGGTGCTTTAATGCCCACAATTCGCATGTGTGGGACGTACAAAATCCGATTGCGATTCGCCCGCGCGCTGCGCAAGTACGCTGGTCAATCAACGTCGCAAGTGCGCTGGTCAATCAACGTATGGGCTGGCATTTGCGGAGATTTTGTTGTTGGGCCGTACATTCTGCCAAACAGATTGGACGGCCCTTCATACAAAATTTTTGTGGAACATGTTCTTCCAACTCTTTTGGAAGAAATTCCATTAGAGATTCGGAGGAACATGTTTTTGCAACATGATGGTGCGCCTGCCCATTATGCCGCCGATGTCAGATCATACTTAGATGAAGCCTTTCGAGACATACTTAGACGAAATCTTCCAAGACAGGTGGATTGGCCGTGGAGGCCCAGTTGCGTGGCCCCCAAGATCCCCGAATTTGAATCCGCTGGACTTTTTTTTCTGGGGATTCTTGAAGGTATGATATCTATTCACAATTAACGACTAATAACAATTCAAAAATTAACAATTTGCATTTTAATTTAATTGTTGCAGAATGAGGTGTACCGCGAGGAGGTGACCACACCGGAGGAGGTGGTAGCCCGCATCCACGGCACGGTTGCCAAAATAACACCGAACCTATTGCGGCGGGTGCGGAAGAATACTATTAAGCGGTTGCGGGCGTGTGTTGCTACAGGCGGGGGGCACATTGAGCCACTCATGTGACTGCCGGCAGTAATCGGCCCCTTTCGCGGCCACTCATCGACTTTTACGAAGAACAACCAGGAAAAACATTATCGGTTCCTTTCGAAGCCATAAAAATTCAACTTAACATAATCTTTCGGAGCCAAACAATCTCAATAACATTGAATCGGCTCCTTTCGGAGCCAAACAATCTCAATAACATTGAATCGGCTCTTTTCGGAGCCAAAAAATATCACAATCACAAAATCGGCCCCTTTCGGGGCTACTTATTATTAATCACAGGAGCAGTCCAGGACAACATTCAAATAATCGGCCACTTTCGGACACCCTCGGAGGCATCGAAAGGGACAATACCTTTTACCAGGGATTCTGCAAAGTGAAAGTAAAAGTGAAAACAAAAGTGTTTTGAAATAAAGACAGTGCAGTGACCTGTGAGTGCCACCAGCTGTGTTATACGGTGCTAGTGTCTGCGACAGGTCAACATCGGCAGGACGACCCGGTGGCAATTACCCCATCACTTTCACTCTCGGATTATTAACAAACAGGATTATTTTCAAAGAATGGGGGAGTCTTATTTTAATAAATTTCCTGTAAATTAGTAGACGTTAATACATTTGTTAATACATTTGTTAGATCTCACATTGAAACTCTTTTTTTTTACAAACAGAATAAGTATTTCCTATTAAAATACGTAAATTCGTTGGCCAATATTATTGTCGGAAATAAAACAAATAAATTTCGATATTTAATGTCACATTCCTTGTCGATAATGAATTGCAGTATTCAATAAATTCCATTTGCATACTTTAGGTCAATTACACATAACTAATTCCGATCCTCCTTCATGAGGAATGAATAAATGAACAATACTTTTAATTATTCTGTT